TATATATATATATATGAAAGAGGCATTTACATACCACACAATTCTTATGGATTACATATATAAAATGCAAAAGCATCGCTATCATCTACTTCTTAAAAGTGACATACTCTTTTTATGAATTGGTTTATCACATAGAAGTGTTATGCACTCAAGTATGAAGTTTTAGTCGCCTGATATGTAAATATATAAGAATTATGTGAGATATATGAAAATTTCCCAAAACGTTAATATATAATCTACCAGAATCTAGGGAACGGCAGGTATTTCCGTCTCAACTATACCCATCCTCCATGTGCGGCATGGAAGTCGCAGAGGAATCGCCAGATGCGGTGAGAGAGAGAGAGAGAGAGAATCGCATTCGGCGATTCCCCTCTCTCTCCTCTTGCCCCTCACGCGTTCACGCTTTTCTTCGCCAAATCGCGGAGAGGCTCTCAAGATCCGTAAGTAGGGTGGAGCAATGGACAGCGTCGGCTCTCAAGGGGAAATCCCTTCTTCGGGGAGCTCATCTGATCAGCTGAAGCCCTCGGAGAGCAGCCCCTTCGACGCCGGCAGAAAGACGCCAATTCCTCGCTCTATGTGCGTCTTCTCCATTATTTGTTTTCCTTCCAAATCACGCATCATCTTGTGCTTCTCGTCTCTTATTTGTCGCATGCTAGGATTGCTTGAAGGTAGAAATCATGTTTTATAGAATGTTGAATGAATTTGATTCCCTAATTTGGTTGTGCTCAATGAAGAACCAAATTAAATGATTCATAATCCAACGGTTCGAAGAGAATATAATTTCTTAGATAATGAATCTGAATCATATAACTTATGATTTATCGTTGATTACGTTAAAAACTAATTTTCTTAAAAGAACTTCAAAATCTGTAACACGTAATGATTTTGCTTTTACATAAAAAATGCTGAAAATAAATTCATTAATTTATAAAACATGCTTTATAAGAAGGTGGAATGATTGTTGCCAATGCGCCGAGGGGGGTTCTAAAGCATGAACATAAGCCCTTTTGTAGATCTCTAGAAAGCAATCCTCAGTCTGCCCAGAAATTTTTGTGGTTTCTTAAAATTTCTGGTATAATTGGAAATTTGAGGTCTTGAATGAGAAGAATGGTGGTATCTTTTTTATTTCAGTGGTAAAATTTTTCCATGGATGTATTTTCGTTTCATTCATTTCTTTGAAGCAGGACTGTTGGTGGGGAGAGAACTGTAAAGAGGCTGAAATTGTCTAAAGCTTTGACGATGCCTGAAAGTAGTTCCATACTAGAAGTATGCCGACGAATGGCTGCTCGTAGGGTAGACGCTGCATTGTTGATCGAATCAAATGCTTTTCTTTGTGGAATTTTAACAGATAAGGTATGTGCTCAAGTTCATATTTTTTTGGGGCATCTACATACATACCACCCAATTCCAATTTATTTACATATTTAACGTCTAAACTTTTTCTTTTTTTTCATTTATAGCATCCGAATCTTTCATATCTAATAGCAAATACCATCATTTAACTTTTAAATTTTAAAAAGTGAAATACACCTTTTCATGCACAAGTAAGATGGTATATATGTAAAAATTGAAATTTAGATTTTAGATATGTAAATACATAGGATTTAAGTGGTTGTAAGGACCATTACTTCCAGCTCATGAGACTTTCTTCTTTCATATGGATACAAGGATATAGCAACCAGAGTTATGGCATGTGAAATAGATATTGAGAAAACACCAGTCTCCGAAGTCATGACACCGAATCCTGTCTTCGTTCTTTCTGACACACTAGCGGTGGAAGCGTTACAGAAAATGTTGAAAGGTTTGTAATGAACCTAATAATGTACTGGCAAGCCAAAAGTTTTTGGAATATTTCCATAACTACCATTTAATTCCTATCTATTTACATTTCTAACACCCAAACATCATTTTTTACATGTATGCCACCTTAAATATTGATGCAAGGTACATTTAAACTGTTAAAGTCAAAACAGTGTTATATGAACGATTTGGGTGGTATAAATGTAGAAAGTAAAGTTTATTTGTTAGCTATATAAACACATAGGAATTGGGTGGTATGCAGGTAAATGCCCCAAATTTTTTTCATGATAGTTACACTGCTAAAAACCAACCATTTTCAGGAAAGTTTAGACATCTGCCTGTTGTAGAAAATGGCGAAGTTATTGCATTACTAGACATAGCGAAATGTCTATATGATGCCATAGCCCGGATGGAAAGAGTTGCAGAAAAGGGAAAAGCGATTGCAGCTGCCGTTGAAGGATTGGAGATGAAGTGGGGAGCAACTGTTCCAAGTATGGTGGTAGATTAATTTATATATGTTGCCAATTACATGAATTCTTTCCAGCTTATGTTACTTTTTTTTTTGTAAAATATCTTTAAAATTATAATCTTTATTTTTAATAACTTGAAATTTAAGGATGCGTAGATGAAACCTTTAGAGAGGCTGTCCAAAAAGGCTTTTATCACGTTCTTTTCATTTTTTTTGTAGGTCCAAACACATTTATTGAATCCCTTCAAGAGAAAATGTTCAGGCCATGCTTGTCCACCATCTTACCGGGTTATACAAAGTATGTAATTTCACCAATTGTAAATTGTTTTTGCTTCTGACCTTTCGTAAAATACTTTTGAAACCCTGAAAATTATTTGTGAAATCATGACTTATCAGTATTGCTGTGGTTTCACGAACGGATTCAGTCTTAATGGCAACAAAGAAGATGCTTGAGCTTGAAGCAAGTTCAGCAATTGTGACTGTTGGAAATAAACTCGAGGGAATACTAACGTATGTTCCATGTAGTTCCCTTTGAGAGTAAGCTCTTCCATATTTTTTAAGGAGATTTACATACATACCACTCAATTCTTATGCATTTACATATATGCACCTAAACTTTCATTTTTACATATATGCAACCTTACCTATGTATTGAAAAGTGCATTTCACCTTTTAAAAGTTAAAGTTGTGGTATTTTTGATGTAATATGAAAGATTTGGATGGTATAAAGCTAAAAAATAAAATTTAGACGTTAGATATGTAAATGTTGGGATGTAATATTACTTAGGGTTCTGATTGGTTCACAATTAAAACCACACTGTAGAAAATAGGAAT